ATAATAATATAGTGAAAAGGCTACATTTCAGAACCAATCAGCAATTTACAAGCAAGTGTAAAGTTAATTAATTTAATATAATTATTTTTGAGTTTTATAATTATTATAAGCGGCTCAATAGAACTTCTGGAAATCACAGATGTTTAGCTTTTTTTGGGGTGCTTGAACATTTTTGTTTTTAAAATGTGGTATTAACTCAGGCTGTTGTATTTTAGAGTGTGGGGGTGGTTTTGGAGCTTTATTTTGGTTACCGGTGTTGTCGGGCATGGCCGCCTGCTCGCTGTTCCTCTCCTTCTCAAACTTGAATATATCTAACATTGATGCTAATTTTCTGACCTGAAATCCACTTCCTTGCCCCCCCAAATCAGTAAAATTAGTGTAATATCTCACATTAATGTTCATTTTCTATCCTGAAATCAACTTCCTGCTTCCCAAAAGCAATAAAAAGAGTCAAATATTTATATTGATGCTCATTTTTTTACCTAAACTCCACTTTCTGCCTCCCCAAAGGAGTAAAATCAGTCGAATATCTCCAATAAATGCTCATTTTCTGACCTGGAATCAACTTCCTGCCTCCCCAAATCAGTAAAATGAGTGTAATATCTCCCATAAATCCTCATTTTTTTAACCTAAACTCCACTTCCTGAACTTTTGGGCTGAGTCTGTTGTATTTTAGAGTGTGGGGGGGTGGTTTTGGAGCTTTATTTTGGTTACCGGTGTTGTCGGGCATGGCCGCCTGCTCGCTGTTCCTCTCCTTCTCAAACTTGATGTTCCCCAGCTGCAGGACGGTGGAGACCACCTTCAGCATCCCTGTGGAGAGCAGCCCGGTGAGCCTCAGAGGTCAGGGGTCGGAGGTCAGGGGTCATGGGTCAGAGGTAAGAGGTCAGAGGAAAGGGGGTCAGAGGCCATAGGTCAGGGGTCAGTGGTAAGAGGTCAGAGGGAGATCAGAGGTCAAGGGTAAGGGGTCAGGGGTCAGGGGTCGGGGGTCAGAGGGAGATCAGGGGTCAGAGGTCAGGGGGTCAGGGGTCAGAGGTAAGGGGGTCAGGGGTCAGGGGTCAGGGGTCACCTGCTCGCTCCTCCTCGCTGAAGCCCATGATCTCCATGGCCTCCAGCGTGTCCTGGAACAGATCCTGGTCCTGCTGCCCGGGGATCTCCACGTGTCCCGCCACCAGGAACCGGTAGCTCCGGAAGTCCTCCAGCAAAAGCTCCTCTGCACACACACACTTCCTCAATTAATTCCTTCATTAGTGTAATATCTCACATTAATGCTATTTTTTCTGACCTGAAATCAACTTCCTGTCCCCCCAAAGAAGTAAAAACAGTCAAATATCTCACATTAATGCTCATT